AGCTTACACAAGATTCTACAAAGCAGTGAATATATGCATGTCTAGAAGTATGGAAACAAGTCAGTATGGATTAGCATTGCAAGTCAGACAAATACAACATAAGTAAAACTTTAAAAATGAAATTACAATCAAATAAATGATTGTATCATATTTTAATATCAATATACATACATTTCCGGCTCAAGATACTTAAATCTCATTGGTTAGGGAATTTTTCAAAATGGCTCCAATAAGATATATCATTTATTTAGACAAAGGTTTAGTTTACAGCATTAACTACTGTGTTGGAAAGTATTAGATTATTCCAATAATTATTTCAAGAAGGAAGACTTCCTTGTAAATAAAAGATCACATACAGATAACAGGGACCATTTGGAACTTCATGGCTGTCCCTTCACACTCATCTTTGTGACAAAAGTAAAAACTTAAATCCACATGTACCATCATTTTTTCATGAAACTTTTAAATTTTTTAACTTTATAAACTGGTAGCATACAACACTGTCAACAGCAACTTATTCCATAAGCCAATAGCCCTGTTAAAACAACTGGCTTAACTGGACCCTAGTCTGTGTTTTTTAAATATTAAAATTGTGTCCTTTTGTGAGAACAGGTGAGTATATATCAGAGATACATATTGAGGCAAGGAAATGTTAACTTCCAAAATAAATACTCACCTCTTCATGCAGTTTAACTATAATCCTGATCAAGTGAACCAAGTATACTTACATGTAATTTGAATATAAGCCTATAATAAAATCATAAAAAAAACATTTACATTTATATTAAATCTCATAACAGTAACCAGTAGAGTAAAAATCTCTTTTGGACTCTGGTTCAAAACGCTTTTTTTTTGGGGGGGGGAGCTATAACACCTATTTGTCATATTTTATAGAAACGTTGGCCTGTGTAAAATGCAGCTCTGCACAATCAATTTTCTAAAAAATTGAATTACCTTTGAACCTTTTAATTGCTTGGGTGATGGAACTACTAGTTATGATAAGATGCCTACAGTTTCTTTACTTTATATTCTTCAGGTAGTTTATTTTTCAAAGCTTATAATATGATAGACTGAAAATAAGGC